CACAGTGTTTCCTTAAGGAATTTAATCCCCTCCTAGTACCCAAGGTAATAGATTATTTCCTCCTAGGATAGAACGAATCACACACTGGTATAGCGGTACTTCAAACCCCAGCGTTTCAGCGAACACAAAGTTCGGTAGCAAATCACAATGCGGATAATCTTACGTTAATATTTACTATTAACAAATAAATTTGGTCCAAAAAATTAATCAATCAATGCGGATAATCATTTGACCGAAGCCGAAGCCGAAGCCGAAGCCGAAGCCGTAGCCGTAGCCGTAGCCGTAGCCGTAGCCGAANTATATATACCCACCAAAAATCTTTTCCTCTTCCAATACGGGACAATGTCTCATTGTCAAGAGGGGGAAACTTAAAATTTTACTCAAAAATTTCATTTTCCTTCCATTTTCCATTCACCCTCATTTTAAGACTATTTAATCTTAAAAATAAAAAACCTCACCAGTTATTAATTAAGTCAGGTCAGCAGCAGCTATTTCTGTGTTAAGACACATTTTGTACACTGAAAAAACTTACTCTGGTGCCATGTACCCAAATGTACCCATAAAACGTGTAGGCAAAGTTGAATTTCCATTTTCAACAAGTTTCGTCAAGCCAAAATCTCCAACCTGTGAGTATGTGATTTACCAATAAGGAGAGCAGTTGTTTGAATTTGTCAAAAAACAAAGATTAGGGGCCTTAATAAGACCTTTGCATGGAAGTTTTTGTTTATCAGAATATTTGCTGATTTAATATCACGATGAATGTAAACGGGGACAGTGTGTTCATGTATATATTCAAGACCCCTGGCTGAGTCTAGTGCAATTTGCACCCTCGTTGACCATGGCAGTGTGTCCCTCCCTGGAAATAGATTTATCAAGTAATTAACAAATGCTTAAGCGTATGAACATCTGCAATACAAATAAGAAGAAAAATATAAATAATTAACTATTCCATCACATCACTATAGCTCATAAAGTTCTCATACCACGTAGATGTTGACTTAGATTACCATTGTCAATGTACTCATATACAAGAAAGAGATACCTTTCAACACAATATCCTATCAAGCACACCTGCATGCATTCAGTGACACAGAAAAGAAAAGATCAAACAAGCAAACTAATAAATCATAATACAACATTAAACTTCCCTTCCAGATCAGTAAACGATATACATAAATTCAAGACTTCAAACTTCAAGTACAAATGTAGCCAATCCCTCAAAATTTCTTAGGTCTGCACACTACTTACAGAAACACATAAATCATAATAGTAAATCATGAATCATCTCTTACAAGAGTTCTATTTATTCTGTCATATGACAAACTAGCATTTTTAAGAGTTCATTTATACCGTGGGTTAGAATGGTTAAAATTGAAAGGAACGGGAAGATGAGGGAAAATAAGTACAACGCATTTTAAGTATAAAAAAAAAAAGGCTCTTTCTCTTCTTTCCTTAAACTTTCTCCCTATCCCTTCAAACCGATCAACTGAATAAGCAAAGACTCTCTGTTAGTTATTTATTTGTGGCACTGACATGGGAACATGTGAAGTGCCATCCATAAATGTTAATGAAGTGGATTATAAGCTAGCTTTTTATTTCAAAAATCAAACATGAATGCAATGATATTAAGATGCTGTATCATTTGTGAAATAATGAGAAAATATATGTGAGAGGCTAAACTTACAAGATTTTACATTTAATCCGATTTGGATTATACTTGTGCTCATCAAAAGAAATAGAACTGATTCTAAAGGACATCTTTACCTTATCTCGAAAAAAGAAAAGAAAAAGGAAATCATAATTGACAGAGAAGATATTTATAATACCAGGTTCAGGTGATGAACGCGCGTCAAAATTTGCAGTTCAGCAAGAAATTCGGTTTTTGCTTGCCTTTTCATTTGCTTTATTGCTGTTATCTGTATCAAAATTTTCAATATATGTTAGCAGAGACTTACAGTATAAAAAACTAATGTAGAAAAGCCCCATTGAATGGTGAATTGCCACTTTCAAGTTACAGTTTTAAGCACAGTGCCATTTGTAAGTAGTAAGTTTTATCAGTTTATGTAATTAGAAATCCCTTAACACTTCTAACTAGATAACTACTTATTGAATTTATAATAGAAGTCTTCTAAAAGACGTGGAACGAGAAAGAAAATTGAAAGCGAGGATCCGTTCTAGCCTCAGTAAAGTCCATCTTATTGAAATTGAAATGAACAAACACAAATAAGTTTTAGCTAACACGATAAAAATAAAGACAGGTGTTCCAAGACTTTACCCCTTTTATTTATGCCAAATAGCTAGGAACAAATATGTACGGGATAGAAATATTTCAACTTCCAGAGTAGACAGGCAGACATATTTTTACAGTTATTGGAAGAAAAAAAAATTTGAATTGCAGACCTTGCCTCTCAGCTCAGCATAATAAATAGCTCCAAAGCCACCTTCGCCAATCTTATTAGAGATGCTAAAGCCATTAGTCGACTCAGCAAGTTCTTTGTATGAGAACTCAACAGATTTATCCACAGCTATGCCCAAAAGGCCTGCCAAGGCACCATCAGAAAGGTCACTGCCTTAGTCCCCTCAGGCCTTACTCAGAAGAAATGTTTATATCAAACTTGTGAAGCGAACTATCAGGTAAAATCTTGGGTTTCTAGGCTGCTTGAATTAGACAATTTGTTCATAGGGAATAATAACCCAAGATGTTCATGCAGTGTTTTGCTTAGAGCAATAAAATTATCACACTATCAAAGGTGAAGCACTAATCATAAAATTAACACTTCCAATTCACTACTGATTTATTGATTCATGTGAAAAACCATAGGCACACACTAGAGAAAGCAAGACACCAGCTATCAATTCAAAGCTTGATAATGAATGAAAGAACCTTTGGAAGCATTTATGTTGCGAAGATGTTTTTGTTAATTTAGAGAATTACCCTGACCAGATGGATGTGATTCATCAGCAGATGCTGAGATGTGTGGTTCAACCTTTTGTTCCTTCTTTCTATAAATTCCCACGTAAATGATGCCTATGAGTAATGTAACTCCAGCTAGTGATGCTACTGCCATTCCAGCAATAGATTTACCTGATGAACCTGATCATACACTCGTACAGAATAATCAATAAGCTTGGGTAGCATGATTAATTCCATCACTGACTAGATTTGGGTGAAAGAAGAGGGCAGTCACCTTTGCTGCAAAGTCAGGGGAAACATGGATGACCAAATATGCTAATAATATGCAAGTATGAGTCAAGATATGATGTTCAATTTATAACCACCTCAAGTCTGAAAAAGATACCTGGTTGGCATAGGTGGATAGTTCCCAAGTTTATCTGCATAAAACAAGGAACCATGGCCAGAATATTATCCACCAATTGAAAAAAGTATGACAGCAGAAGTAAACATTTTACCAAACCACAAATATCGGGTATAGAACTTAAGCTATGTCAGATCAAAATCCACAATGCAAAGTTGCGACAATCGACCCCACCCCCACCTCAACCCTCACGCACCCATCTCGACCCTGCGAACCACACCCCACACCACATCTCGTCCTCATTCCTCTCCACCCCACCCCCTCACCACGCCCCCACCAGAAAATAAGTAAGAAAATCACTTATTTTTCATAGAAACATTTTTCTTGAAAAACATTTTCTTTCGTGCCAGACACACCCTATATGTCACTACATGAGCTTTAGAGAATCTAATTAGTTTTCCAGAACCCTTAATTCACAGTATTAAAAGCAAATTATTGGAGCAAAATTGTGCCTAAACAGAGTGGAACAAATATAGATGATCCAAATAGTCGGCATAAAAACCTGCTTTTGTGTTGTTTTTATCATGTTCGAACTCACCTCTGCCTGGAATGTAGAGCAGCCCAGTGCCAGCACTGAAATTCACCGCTGGATTGTACATCTGGATCAATTCAGAGCTTGTATTGGTCGCCAACGCGATCGACTCCAGAGTTTCCCCTGGCCTGATTGGATATGTGATGAACAACCCATAATCATGGGATACATCTTTATTCCCACACGAGCAATTCACTGTCACGTTCAACGTTACATTATTAACCGGAATATTATTATACGGATAACTGTTAAACCTCATCAACCACTCCTCAGTAATCAAACCGGAATACTCCGCCGCTACGCTACCATAAGTATCCCCAGAGCGGAGATTGTATGGAAAAACGTGTCCCAAGTAGTCGTCGCCATTAAGGCAGTCACAACGGAAGGGTACTTTAATCTTAATCGTGATGTTGGCTTCAGCCTGAGTAAGCGGGATTACGAAACTAGGGTTGTAGCTAAGGATTTCAGGGATAGAAACGTTCGGGAATAACCGGCGGGATACGTCGGACACAAATTCGTCATAATAACCACGATGAAGAGAGTATGAAGCGAAAGCTAATGCACAGCCCTCTCTGCACCTTGAATCAGCTACTACTACATAATAATGAACTGAAAAAAAGTAATATATCACAATTAGGATTATCCTTATCCTTTGGAAAAGATACATTCCTGGAAAATAATACTAGTCAGTTCCATAATTATTAGGCTTAAAAGGAGGAAGAACGATTAACGATAGGATGTTTCCAGGGAAGTGGACATTGCTTCCACGGTTGAAAGTCAAACAGTGATAAACAGCAAAATCTAGCGCCAAGAAGTAAATATGAAAAATTAGTCTGCTCTTAACGATAACACATTGCTCTCCTTCGCAAAAAGCAGCCCGGTGTACTAAGCTCCCGCTATATACGGGATCCAGAAAAGGGCCGGACCACAAGATCTATTGTACGCAGTCTTACCCTGCAAGACCCTGTTTTATGACAGCAACTTTACCAGTTACGTCAACTACCTTAAATTTACCCCGTAAAAAATACGTCGAAAGTTCATAATATTGAAACCCTTGTACATCAATAGACAGTATTGCTGGATGTTAATTGAATTGATATAAAAAAGAATTCTAAGTTTGAAGTTTTCAATATCTAGAAATATTGATTAATTTAAAAGCATTTGAAGTGGAGATATGTTAGACATTTTCTAATAGATATGATGTTTTAGCATATGCATTGACTTTCCTTAAAAGCCAGTAGCTGAACCTATGCATTAATTTATCTTTGATTGTCGTGTGAAATTCTACGATGAGGCGTTGCTTACATCATTTTCGCCAAAAATGTGTTGACAAATGACAGACACGCCTAAGAAAATGTACAAGAGATAACCACGAGACTTGGAAATGAAAGTTAGCAAACGTGTCAACAGAAAATATTAATTTTACTTCAAATTCAAATAATAAGCAGGGTCTAGATATTTATAATTGGTCTCTCTTGTTTATATACAAGGTGATGGGGGTGCTCCATATGAACCAAAGTAACAGATATTAGCAACTTTGTGGACTGAATTAAACGAGTCTTAGGTTTTCAATTAGTTATTATAATTTAAGTATGGTCTGCATATTCCCAAATCCGAATAGGTTTTTTTTGCTTATAAGTGATAGCATCAAATACAGTGATTAAATTTTCTTCGGCAATTTCATAAAAGCTGTTTCATTAAACATAGAATTCAAATTTAATTCAGTTTTGGGGTATTATCACTTTTAGCCCGTGCTAGAAAGTATTTACATTTGGTAGCCAAAAAAATGTATAAAATTTATATAATTTTTGTATATAACATACTAAAAGTATAT